AGTTTTTAAATCAAAGACAACACTGTAAAATTCTGCAGCAGTGATACCAGTTTACAGTAAACTCAGCAAAAACACCATTTTTATTTTCTTTTTCAATCAGTAAACCTGTAGTGAAAATAAAATCACAGAATCAGATCACTCACTTCTCTGGGTTCAGCCAGAGCTTCTTGGTCTGGTACTCCAGACATCTCATCACTGTCTGGAGCTGCAGTCTCATCCTCCAGGGAAGTGACTAAACACACACACACACATACAGACACACACACACGTTTGCACTTTTATATTTGTGAGAACCCTCACAACAGATTCCCTGGACCCTAACCATCACACTATCAAATATGATATCTAACCCCAACCCTTGTCGTAGACTTACACTAATCTAATTCTGACCTTAACCTTAAAATCAAGTGTAAACCCTCAAACAGCCCTTTGCAATGTTCTGCTTTATTCTGTCTTGTTTTGTTATGCTGTGTCTCATTTTTAGAACATCCTGTATTATAAGACTAGGAAAAGTGAAAAATTCCTACATTTTCAGCTGACTATTTTGGGGTTTAAAGGAGTGAGAATAAATGACTTGTTAAGATTGCTGTTAATGAACTCACCAGAGACAGAGAGCAGCAGGGCAGAACAGAGCAACACAGTCAGCTTCATGACTTCCAGTGTGTACAAGTTTCTGTGGGCAACAGGTGTTTCTTTCACACATTATGTTCTCCTTTTATACACAACACGTCAAGCTGGCAGTAGCTGTCCTCTGATTGGCTGACTGGCCAGGTGATACCAGATCATCTGGGCCACAAGATTACATAACTGGATCAAAAGAATAACAGCCTGGAAAAACAAATATCCAGTTACAGCTGCAGGGAGGAATATAGTGGCCAGGCTGATGTTTAGACCTATATACTGTCAATGGTCTAGACTGAGAGAGAACTGTACTCAGAGTTTAGTATTAGCACTTAACCCCTTAGAATCAACATGGGACCTAGAAACTACCTCTGAAGCTGCTATTCTGGCAGATGAATATGTGTTGGCACATAAAGGGAAATCTGGAACAAACGATTTTTTAGATAATGCTAATGCTAAAGCTAATGGTCATTCTGCTAAATTTTCTTGGTCTGAGTCTTCAAAGATAAATCCTGGTCCATGTTCAGGTGGTTTTGGTAAAGTTTGCAATTACTGCCATGAGTGAGGACAGTGGAAAGCAGAGTGCCTTGCACTGAAAAGCAGGGTAAATTGTACAGGTGGCAATCATCTTAAACCAGTTGCTCTGTGTTCCAGTTAAGAAAAGTCCAGTTGTCAGAGGCAAGTTGGCAGTTGAACCAGAAACTGAGAAATATTCTGGTTTTCGAAGTTGTTGTGTCTGATGGGTTTGTGTCTCTCACTGTTAGCGATGTTAAAGTGCCTGTGAAAATTCTACGAGACACAGGAGCAAAGAATTCATTTATTCTAGCTTCTGTGCTTGTCTTTTCTCAAGATACAGATACTGGTGAATGTGTGTTGGTACGGGGAATGGGTTTAACTCCTCTGGATGTTCCTGTGCGCAAAGCCAGTCTGTCCTGTGGTCTTGTGGATGGTGATGTAGAATTTACAAATGTAGTATGCATTTGTTACTTCTAGGCTGGATTACTGCAACTCCTTATTATCAGGCTGCCCCATTAAGACGCTCCAATTAATTCAGAACGCTGCAGCACAAGTACTGACAGGAACTAGGAAAAGAGATCATATTTCTCCTGTATTAGCTTCTCTGCACTGGCTCTCTGTAAAATTCTGAATAGAATTTAAAATCCTCCTCCTCACGTACAGCTTTGTACACTGAAAAAAATAGCTCATAAGCTTCATAAATTTACTTACAACACATATATTGGTAGAGTATGTGCGACGCAAAATGATCAAGTAAACTTAAACTGCTGCCGGAGTATCGAGGGTACAACTGCACAGCTTGTCATGATCAGAGTTAAGATTGTTGACTACCATTAGACATAACAGTTGGTTTGAGATATAGAGTAAACAGTTTCGTAACTGCGGTTAAACATTGAAATTTTTACATTACTACATTTAGTTTAAAACAATTAAGGTGCAGGGTCTTACCTCTGTCTTCGTTTCATACGGGAAGAACACTGTGTCAGTTTGTCCTCACAACGGTTTAAGTAATGTGTTCCTGGACTCATCTACTCTGTGAGTGACTTGCGTGTTCATGGACGTATTTAGGTGAGATTTATTACTTCCTCTCCCTCTGCTTGAGATTGTGGGTTAACTTGGGTTGGCATACGTACATTACTCGCACTACCAACAATCTAGAGGTAATTCATTGGGCCATTCTCCTCTCTTGTTGCATAAATGGTTACCAAATAAATTTACCACCAAGTTACTCTATTGCATTTTAAAACGTAATTTATTGTGATTCACGCATATCAACATCACAGGACTAAGATTACAAATGCAAGTTAGAATGTGTTATTTCATTGGTTAAACACGCAGAACATGCGCGTACACATGGGCATGATGGCTAGTCCTCAACAAAGCGGTCCCATGCATCGACGGTGCCACACGGTCTTTTCTCCTCCTGGATGAAAGGCATCATCGACTGTGGGGGCGCATTTTGTGTCAGGAAGGAAACTCAACTTCAAAGTGTTATTGTTGCGACACCAGTTTGAGGAAGCCACTCCAGCTCGCAGCAAGAGGTGTTTTGGAAAACTTCGAAAAGTTGTCAGCGCCAAACGTGGGAGGGGTATCGCCCAAGTTTTGCAAGGGGTAATCA